GGTATAATCTTAAGAAATAATTAACTTTTGTTCGAACTCGGATTTTCGATGGTGTTACGCCTTACCTTCGCGCGGTTGTCCACCACCTGCGGGAGGAAACTAAAAAAAAAAAAAAAAACGACCGTAATATTCAACTCTCCCACGCGATACGGTAAATTATCGTACACTGTTATCCAGTTTTAATAATAATCCGGAGGACGCCACGCGCGCACCGAGCACTTATAAAGATATTATACTACTACGTATTGTTGTATCATTTGTACGAAAACGGTAATCATCATACGCGTATCCACGGCACGACGCAGGTGTACGCAGGTATGTTTAATATAAAGCGTATACTATGTGTACAGAATATTTTAATAATAATATACATGTACACGTTATCGTACGCGCACGGGCGTTTATAATATATGGGCAGGAGGCGCGTATTAACGACACGTGAAGACGATAACGATAAATTTCGTACGGTCGGCGAGTGAATAAAAAAAAAAAAAAGAAAAAATACGAATAATAATAATAAACTACTACTACGATAGCGTACGGTTTTCAACCGTGTTCAAGGGACCGGACGCGCGTATGAAATAGGTACGACGAGCATTGGCGATCGAAACGAACTGGACGTGTCTCCTATAATTTATTTCACCGTACCTGCATAGTGCGTACACGTACGCGCGTGTAAACGGAGTATCCGGCGTGTGTACGGTTCGGAACGCGCGCGTCGTCGTAACCGCGTTGAAATTTTGTGGACGTGCCAGTTTTTATTTATTTATTTATTTTGTCCCAACGATATACATACTATACTACCGTAAACATGGTTGCGCAATAGACGTGAAGGGGAAAAAACGGCGCTTTTAAAGTCTATATTGGTTTTTTTTAATTTTTTTTTTTTCTTTTGCACAATTATACCCGGTCTAACGATGAATAATTGTAGTTCCTATTGATTCCGTTCGCGACGAGTACAAATCGAGTCTAGGAGAGACGTGCGCGTCATTCGAATATTCCATTACGGTGGTAATCACGATCCAAAACAACAAACGTCGTGTTAATGTAATAGTTACAAAACGTTTATGCGAATTTTCATTAGCACTTGTCGTTCAATAATATATATTGTCGATTAAGTTACAGCTTGTTCCAAACTTTCCCGGCAACTTGCCTTTTCGCCGGACCAATCAACATTGTAAATAACGACAACGCGGTTCGATTTTCGTAACCGTCGCGGATCAACGACGAAGTGCCTACCAGTTTAAATGAAGACGTTCGACTAACTTAAATTTATTGAAAATGAAATAGCTAGAATCAGAATACTTTAGAAAAAAAAAAACGTAATTGTTTTATCCAATAGAGCCAATAAGTGAATCAAATTAATCGTGCTTAAACCCATCATATGTATAAACCGTGCGGTGTGCGTATCGACCGGTCGCGTCGCGTAATCGCGTTATCCGCGATCGTGCGACACGTTCCGTGCTTGTATTGTTTATTGCGAAGTTGTGTTTTCGGAGACCTAAAACCGGACGTGTTCATTTTCACTAATTTTCGTGACATTTTTGTACAGATTTCAACTCGACAAATTCGATATCTTATGTTTTGTACTCGTACCTGTGTTGTTGGAAGGACTCGCGCATACATGCAGTGTTGACATTTATTCCGCGGGCCGTGTGAACAAGCCAAGCCAAGAGGGACGCTGGAAATATCTAGCTCGCTATTTCGGTTTGAAAAGTTAGCCCAGTGTGTCTCGGGAGTTTACCGATCTATACATTGCAGATCGGTCTTACAAGACGCGCCTAACTAGCTCATATGCGCGTTTGAACGAATCGCTACCACGCCGGAGCATAAAAAGTCTACACGTATGCATTGCAAACGTATACAAAGACTTTGGTGCACGCGTCGTTGTGTTATTACGTTGTGGGTGCGCAGGCACGCAGTGTTTTAACCTTATTAACGATACGGCGAGCACCTCGTAGCAGACGCCCCCGCGTGCACTTCGATACATTATACTTCGTACGTTTACTTGTAATACGTGTAATAATATCAAAACGCGATCCGTTATAACGTTGTTTAACATTTATTTGCCGTCCACGTGTCAAATGTTTACCTCTCCGTAAAGCGTTCTCGTTAACGCGATAAGTGTGCATATTTATACCGCACACACGCTATAATATACATAATGCACTACGTGTACGTGTTTGTGTGTGCGCGCGAATGTATCGTACTGTCGTGTAACCGCTGTCGTCGCCATTTTTTATTATAATCGTAATGACGGGCGAGATGGCCTATAACGACCGTAGGTGAAAGTCAATTATCGCGTCCCGTACACGATCATACAATGCATGCGTATAATATATTATACGCGTACAAACAGATGTGCAAACGATATGCGCCGGAATGATGTACGTTAACATTGTGCTCATACTCTGCCGGCAACGAGCCTTATAACAGCCTATAACTATAGCCTTCTCCTTTTTATTTTGTTTTTTTTTTTTTTTTTAACTTTTTTCCTAAGTCTGTTAATATTATAATAATATATATATTATACAACGCGTACTCGTGCGTATTGCGAACGCGCCGTCGCCTCGATCGTGCCGTGATAATAATAATAATAATAATAATGATTTATGGATATTACGCGTTCACGGCGGGTGTAATGTGTCGTACGCTGCAGATAGGTATCGACGACGGTACTCGGTGATAGCAGTAATAATAGCTGCAGCAACAACAACGATAATAATATTATTATAATTCGAGGAGCGTTTTCCGCGGGCCGTAAAATGTAAATTCGATAAATCGCGACCGGTTTTCGAAACGCAACACGTCACGCTGGACACCGAGATCGCATTAATATCCGTTTAATCGCGATATTATATGGTACCGCGGGCGACGGTCGTTGGACATCTATCATTATGAGTGTCTTCTATGCCTTGTTGAGCCGCAATGCAAACGTAGGGAATCTGCTGAACGGCGAACGGTGTTTCAAAATTTTCCCAAAATGACAACCTGTGCGTCCGATTTGTTTGACAACATTGAACGTTTGTTGGAATTTTTCGGTATGTTTTACCTGTGAATAGAAGCTTCGTGAATTAAGAATAAACAAATCTTCTTCAAGAGGAGGTAAACGTCGACGGGGGAAAGAAACGAACGAAAGTTTAGTACAAACGGTTTACATCATTTTTCATTACCATATTTCGCGTTAATATAAAAACACCGAGGAAAAATGTTCTCGTGCCGTTGGATATCAACTCCAGCAGCCGATTTTGTATTGAGTTGTATATTTATACGTTTATGGGTATCATCGAGCCCGTGACATTTTTTTGTTCGGACAAATTGTATTCCGAGGAAAATCCCGATACAGCACCGATGTAAAATTTGAACTCATAAGATCTTATATTATTCGAAAGCAGAAAAAAATCATTGGCAGTCTTGGTATCACGCAGTACACGACACTCATCATGTACGATGATATCGAAGCCGTTTGGCGCAAAACAGCAACGGAGTGTCCCACGAGTGTTTTTCCCGTTCGCGGCATAAGCGGAAATTTAGTGAAATTAGTGGGGGGGCTGAGCATTATTTGCTTATTACACTTATAGGTACCCCTGTACGCAATTATTTATTTCAACAAGGCAATTTACAAAGTTTGACAATTTGACATACTCAACAATTTAACCAAAAAAACAATTAGGTGCTTTATCTTAAACATTTTTTGAGTAGGTATTCTAAACAGATATTATTAATTAATTAAATTAACAACCAATGCAAGTATTATTACATATTATTAATATTACATTAATTACGATCGTTCCAAGTCATGACAATAAGTTTGTAAAATCTAACGAATTTGATTTAATTTTTATCAATAATATTTTTTTTTAATTCAGTTATTAAAAATGCCTTTTACAATTATAATAATTATTGTATTTATAGTCACTTAAAAATGTTTTGGGCTAGGGGACTAAGACCATTTTTGAGGGGCTTAGTCCTCTCAAGCCCCTTCAATTTCCGCCAATTTCGTGGTGACGCAATCAATCAACCGCGAAGGAGGTGAAATTCAGTTTTCGTCGTCCCAGTCGTCTCCCGAATCAGTTACACTAGCAAAACCTTACGAAACGCCGCCACAATGGTCCGAATATAAAAATAGTTGGCCAAAAATAATTTTTTTGAATTTCAAAAAATTAAAATTTTTCTTTTGTATTTATTTTCTACAGAACTTAAGGTATACAACTGTACAAAAATAATGACATAATGTATTTATATTCATTGAAAAATAAATCATTAAATTATTTTAACTAATATTGCGATTTTTGGTTCGTAATAATTTCCTGATTAAATTGTCCCAACCAAATACAATAAAAGTCTACCAAAATGTTTTTGTTTGATATAATATCAGTTATTCGTATGTAATATATAAATTACTGATATTATTTAATGACCTAATTGTCATATAACGATTATAATCGACCCGTAATAATAGTGGAAATGTATGCATTTCTAAATATTACAAAGATAAATTCATACGTTTTTAAAGCTTATAAAATGAATAATGTTTTTCACCGAGCTTCACAGATATATTGGTATTATCTAATTAACCATTATCTATTGAACAAAAATGTGTAATATTTAGCTGCGCATTTTTGCGCAACTCATTGTAGTAAGCCGTTGAATTTTGGTGAGTCAATCATTTTATTGTAAACGAATTTTATTTATAAAATAAAATAATTTAAAAATATGTCTTTAATTCCTAAAATTACACGAATGATAGTAGTGATAATATTCAGAATAATATAGTTTATATAAATTAACTATTTTTAAATAAATTGTAATAACAAACATTTAAAAAGTAATAATATTATGTTATTTTATGATTGTCATTAAAAATATTTTACTCCCCATAAAACAGAATTATATTGTATACTTTTTTATTGCTTCATAATTAAAAAAAAATCAATTACGAATAAAAATATAGTTTAATTAATTTATAGTATATTATTGTTAACTAGTTTTGAAAAAATTAGATTTTTGCCTAACAATTTTTATTTTTAGACCACTGTGCTCCGTGTGTATAATAGTATTTGATAATAATTGTAGGGTATGTTTTAAAAAAAAAAAATAAAAAATACATCGGACCAAAGGTGTGCGCACAAGGGCAGCAGAATATGCACTCGCCAACTCCCCCCCCCCCTGGATGGTTTAAACAGATCCGTTAGAATCAAACAGTCCAAGCTGGCCACCGTTATACCCAATAAAAAACAAGTTGTTTATCCGAAAAGCACATTCAATTATCAAGCTAATATTTACCGCGTTTAAAATATATTATAAGTAAAAAAAAAAAAAAACACTACAGGCTTCTACAGTATACCAGTCATGCATAGGCTGTTTGTATGAAAATAAATAAGCTGGTAAAAATATTCGCTGCCTCGACTTGACATTCTGCGCACGGCCATAGCACCGTACCGTGGTACTAACCTAACCTGATTAATTGGCGGCGCGAGCTACCACTGGGTAAACCAGAAGACATCCATGTCCGGATTTTCGGTTTTAAAACGTTTCCGATCCATAGGACCCAACTCACATGCCGTTTAAAATCATAATCACGATTAGCAATATATCGTGCTAATAGGGTTCTGTCGTTCAACGTGTTATACAGTCAACCCTTGTTTCCGCCCCCCCCTCCCCCATATTTTCATCGTTTGAATTACAGGTACAGTGAATTGGGCAGTTCATGGAAGATAAAAGAAATAAATAAATAAATTATAAAAACAAAAAAAATGATATTTATATCACCTTGACAATCGATTGTTAATTGTTTCAAATGTTCAAATTCATTTCACTTTACTTTCGTCGGTTGACCGGTGATCACATAATATCATCAGAACAATAAAAGCTCTATATTTTTCCATTGTCTTACGTATACTGTTTGAAGAAGTCTGAAGAAGAAAAATGAACTCGTCGTCTAAAGATATCGTCTCTTTTCAGGTACGTAGATTTCCACGCCGCCTAAGGGAAAAAAATAGTATTTCGTTACATACCTAATAAATGGTGTACAAATAAACGATTTAGATTTCTTGTTAGCTTTTATGTTATATCAGTGCGGTTCACGGGCTTGTAAATATGTATCTTTAACGATGGCTCGAGAAATTAAACAATAGCCAAATTTTCTATTATAGACCGACACTAAACATTGTTTCGTTTCATGTTTCAGTCCTCGTCGAAGAAACGTACGATCAGGTTAAAAATGTTCGACTATTTCTTGAATGTACCACACGGAACACCCTTAATCGATCAGCTGGAAGAAGTGGCTTTTATTATGGGTAGGAGTTTGGTAACCAAAGTCGCACGTTCCAAGTTCTATTTCATTGTCCAGTACAAAATTGGATCTAGGAGCATATCGATATTTGGCCAAAACAAGATGGTATTTATATTATATTAATGACTAATACAATAATTTTACGGACTAACGATTAATTTTACTTTCAGTCTTGTATTGACCAGTGCGAGTTGGAAATGGTGTACATGCTGCAAAAACTTTGCAAGTTTGTATGAGTTCCTACTTTTTGACGAGACAGTCAACGAGGGAAACCGACACCATGTTTCTGCAATACAGTGTTGGGATCATTTCAAAATTCATATGATCACCACTGTTTCAGGCATGCAGTTTTGTCATACAGTTATTTTTTTTATATGTTAATTTTAACAGTTGTACACATTTTATGTACCTATACAACTTCCAAAATGTTTGAGGAAACTTAAAACGATTATTATAATATATATTTATATTTTGGCATAAATAAAATTGTCGTTGAAAAACTGTTATTTTCGATTTTATTATTATTTTATTATTTAGTAATATATATTACTGTCTATTTTTAGCATTTGAGAAATTTAAAAGATGTTTGGTACTCTTTTAAATTAGTTATGAAAAAAAAATAATTTGATCATTGAAATGCTCAAAAAGCTCCATCTCAACAAAATGATAATAGTAATAGTATAACAATAATAATTTGTGTATTAACATAAAAAAAAACATATTATAAGAAAAAAAACATAGCGCAATATTAATCAAACACAATTTATTTTATTCAATGTATAATTAAATAATCGATTATACGATTTGCTGCAGAATGCAATATGCTTATAAAATTTTCTCTAAAACATATGCGAGATATTGTTGAGTATAATATACAATAACGAACTTCCCTGTCGAAGTCGGTTGTGCGTAAGATCATATACACGTATATTATATGTAACGATTTTCCAATATAATATAACATGTAATTAATGTCGCCTCAAAGATGACAAATTTTAACGGCATTTGAAGTCTATCTTCGTTAGTAGGCATCGCGATATGACAATATTTAGAAGTTCCTCCGAGGTGAATCACACACGTATGATAATCAAATTTAATAATTTGCACGTTTTCTCCAGTGGCGTGTGTGCTGTGTAACGCGATTTACACGAGTTCCCATACCGCTTTCTACAAGATATTTAGCACCAGGTAATTCCGCTGAGTTTTGCAACTTAACGCAGAGTTACCGATTGAATTATTTAAGCCATTATGGCGGATTCCGCAGCATTCCGAGTCGGATCCGCGACACACGCGATGCAATTGTATAAACCGTAATGGGATTTTTTTTCGATTTTTTTACATTTTCGGCTTGATTTTTTTTTCCTTCATTTTTTCGTCCGAATATATCCGAATACGGATCCGTGTCGCTTTCGCGCAGACAGTGGAAGGCGTTCATCGTCGCGGCCGCCGCTGTACCGTAAATCTCGGAAAAGGCAAAACAATTAAGTACCGGATCGTCGCGATATGTGGTCCATAAATGATAATCTATTACGGGGACTGAGGACGGAGGAGACGTGACCGGCCGAATAAAATGTTTGACGCAATGTTTTTCTTTTCTCTTCTGTAAAAAAAAGGCAATTTTTGCCGATACGTTGTTCCGTTGTATACGATTTACGATCGTAAATAGAACGTGTTTTCCTTTTGAAATGACCACACAAGGCGTATTATTATTTATTTATTTTTTTTTTTTACAAAACCATCGTTTTAACGCTACAACCGTGACAGAAAAAGTAAAAAAAAAATGGTGGCACGTAACAGTTGCAATACAAACGGTTTGCGTGCTCATCTCGTAAAATCGAACCGCGCGAAATGTTTTTAATATTCAATATGCATTTTACGCTTATCACGCGCAAAAACATTATTCCGTCCAAGTATTTCATTAAATAGTTAAAATGTAGTGAAATTGACATTTATTGATGGCCGAGTTTTAAAAATTGACTTGTTTTCCAATACTTGCCGGTCACGTCAATTACCGCTGACATGGGTTATCCCGTAATGCATTTCGCTACCATCATAGGCTCCGGCGATGATTATGTTACCGTAAGGGTTGTAAAATATGCCGAAATAGTTCCGCAAAACCGAACGGTTTTTTTCCACCTCTTCTATTTACACTGCAACGTTTTATGGCCGTGTATATGCGCGTACGTACACCCTTCTTAATTCGTGTCAATCCAGTTCTTTCGACGTCCGGTAAAAGCTTTCGTCCCACCGCCACTCTCATCGCGTAAAATATGCCAAACGCCAACTACACGTATACGTACGCCGCGTGCACTTTTGTGAAACACAAAATCATTTAAGAACCGTTTTCAATCACGAAACCTTCCCCCAACAGAACCTGTCACAAAACGTTTAATAAGAATGTAGTTGATGCTTGCAGGTTCGATGGAACGAAATGACGTGCGTTATGAACAAGAATTGAAGAAATACACTGCGGTCCTCGTGTTTGACTCTCGTCTCGCTCCATTGTGCTATCGGCGCACGATGTGTGTATGTTATTATTCGTTGTATGATAATTTTTAAATTTGAAAACTACTATGATAAATCATGAAATTAAAAATAAATCATGTCTTTATAATGAGCATTGTACTGCAGTTCCGCGAAAAAATTTGTTGAAGCGATAGATTTTCGCTCATTGTTCGTGTTCATAAAAATAACATAATTTATTTTGATATCATTACATAGTTCGATTAAAAAAAAAAAAAAAAACTGTCATACTTACGTTGAACAAATTGTTATAACCGTATTACAATAACTGTTATGGAAATACATTTCAAATCGAATTTCATTATTTCGCGATGAATATTAAAAATGTTTTGATAAAAAGAAAAAAAAAATAAGAAAAACAAGACAAAGTAATACAAATACTCGTAAATGAACGTTTAAATAAGTACTTTACACACAGAAATAAATAAACAAATGTGTAGCCTTTTACTACAAATGTAATAACACTCCTGGCTATGTATTCATTTATTTATTTCTATACAGAAAACTATTTATTTAAATTCGATTAAATGTACAGCAAAAAGTTCTCTACCTATGCGTTAAAACTATAAGAATTAGATATTTTCGTCGGAAACATTTTAAAATGTAAATAATAAAATAATAAATATATTTGGCTGTATAATTGGTTTACCGAGATCCACGAGTAACTGATAAGCGAATACTCGAAAGATATATTTAACCGACTGCGGAATGTAGGCATCTCGACTTTATCACTAGCTTGTTGAATAATGAACTCGATAAACAGATAAACAGCATTTTTGAACATCTCCAAAACTACTTAATAATTGTACGTTTTCCGTTAGTAAATTACGCTTCTGTATTCTACCGGAGAATATAGCGCTGTGTACTGGATATATCTTCTGGAACGTAGCTCACAGAAAAACCAACATTATTTTTCACGCGTTCGTTTTTTAAATTGCCTAATTAAAATAACTTACGAATAGAATAATAACGATAATAACACACATGTACGGATGAACAACAATGCATTCGTGATGATGTATTATTATAGAAATGCAGGCACAACGTAAACGATGCAGGTACTATTATAATATTTATTGTAAACATTTTTTTTATTTTATTCAGGCGTCTGTTGGCCAACTGATTTTAATCGACATGATGTGCAGTTCGCGAACTCGATACACGATGGAATCACATTTTTATACGAATCCGTGTTATTCAATATAATTTGGAATTTAATCGGCTCTTGTCCCGTAGCCGTTAATACGGCCAAGCATTCGTTTTATTATTTTTTATTTTATGCTCAAGATGCCACTTCGTCTACCGCGTTTGTCATTATTCTTCCGATTTCGTGTTGAAAACACATGCAATTATCGTCGAAACGCAACACGGATGGTTTCGATAGACGTTCGCGGGACATACCATCGGGTATATTATTTTAGGTTAAGTTTTACACGTACGGCAAGGTTTCGTTTGGCTTCCCGTAAAGGTACGGTCTGAAAGACGCGACACGTCGCGACGACAAAACTATTTTATTCGGACCGCTATCATATATATAAAATTGTCAGTTTGGTTCAAACCGTTGAAGTGTGTACGCGTGTATGTTATTTAAGGCTTTCGATTTGAATAATAAACTATGGATAAGATAATTTTTAACAATACTATTCTAACTCTCCTATCAATGGACTAAGATGACAACGAGGTTAGTCTGCGTGATCTGCAGCTGCTACATTAAATTATATCGGATTGTTTTGCACTTCTTGGACCAATGTTTCATTTTCAGAAGACGAGAATACTATTTTTGACATGATGCCGTCGTGCTGTGTCGCGTGTGCACTGCTTCAGTAGCAGTAGTGCCGTCGGCCGTGGCAACCAAAAGTTGGCTTGTAAACTAGACAATACGATTTCCATAAAAACAAATATCGGCCACCAGTTACGCCTTGCAGGCCGCACCTTAAACCGTGACGACAGCGATGACAACGGCCGACGCGCATTGTATCCAGCGAAAAAGACTGTAACGATTGCTACATACATATGCTCCTCACTTACTCATATTTATATATTTTAAAAATTAGTAATAGATATTTATAATAATAGATAGTCCATGGTCCGTAGGTCGTATTTAAAACATGTATATTAGATATTAATAACTAAACTAAATCAATCTCTACATTTACTCGTAATATTAAGATCTCTCCTTTTATGCTCCCGAGCTACGGTATGATACATTCAAAAGGACTAAAAAACCTTTTCAGAGTATCATATATTTAACTGGTCAACCCCGACCACGTTACAAGACTGCCGTTTGACGCGCGCTTCGCGCATGATACGTCTACGGGAAACCTGTCAGGGAGATCGCCACTGCCTTCACGATGTGCCCGACGGTCGGAGGAAGAGCAGCAGTAGCAGCAGCAGCTGTCAACGCTCGCCCCGGGTGGTTCCGTCATCCGTTACCCGAAACGCAAAAACAGCAGACTTTTCCGTTTACGGACCGGAAAGAGCGTAAAAAATAGCTCTTCGATGGAATACCGTGACGTCCTTCGGAGTAATAATCGTGCACACATATCGTAACAATAAATTCGGTATACACCCTATACGGATATTGTTTTCACAGGATCAAAACGTGCGAAATGCAATTCAGATTCTCGTACGTTGTTGGTCTTGTCGGAACGCCATCGCGACAGTGTTGATCACCGGGTTCGATGCACTCAGGGCTGTAGCAAAGGGGATAGGGCCAAAGGAATAAGTGAAAATTTTGCAATTTAATTGTTACTTATAACTTATTACTTATAAGCAAATGTCATATTATGTATATTTATATTTTAATAAGTTATTGATTTAAATCAACAAACTCTTACATAATTATTTGAAAAATCATTATTTATATTGCGTTTATATTAAGTATACGATTTTTTTATGAGTAT